GCACAGAACCAAGTCGCCATCTTACATTTTTTTTATTTTTTTGATAATCTGTTACACTTGTATGTGTGATATGGAGAAAAAGATCTGTCACTAAATTTTAATTGAATGCGATTTAAATATTTCCCTTGCCCTCTCATTCTCATGTTTTGTGTTTGAAGTTTGATTGTGTCCAGAGATTGTAAAATATTTCCCAATGTATATTAAATATTTTATGGAAAAAATGTTGTGGATTTTAAAAATGAAAAAACAACAACAACAACAAAAAAATCACCTAGTTAATGGAACGATATGTGTTTTTTTGTTTTGTTTTAGTCAATTTGAAGATAGTTGGATAATATTCTACTTTCAGAGTTTTAAATGTACTGCAGAAGGTCTGTGGGTCGATATGTAAAAATATACAAATTTCTTTAAAAATATAAAAATGTTGGATATATTGTATATACATATTTCAGTTTTATTTGATACATTTTGGTCTGTTATTGGTTGGAAAATAAAGTGATGCATTTGCTAAAATCTAATATAGGTCTGCAGTGTTATCAGTAAAATTTAGCATTATTTTACAAGAATTTAGACTGAGAGTCTGAATGGCAGATTCCTGATTCGGAAACTCCTGTTTTGTTCTACTTGTATAGGGAAATGTACAGATTTTTAAATGTTTTTATTTGTATTTCATTCTCAACCTTTGGAACCTTTTTGCTTTGCTGCCTATGCATATATTTAAGCAACAGATGAATTTAAAATATTGTGTGTGTGAGTGTTTAATGTGTGTGTGTCTAGCCCTAACCCAAACAATAACGTGATTATTCCGCAGTGGTCCTGCTCAATTCACACATTAATCACAATGGAAATCCGAGAGAGAGAGAGGGAGAGAGAGAGGGAGGGAGGGAGTGAGGGTGGGGGATCACAGAAGGTTTCATTGGGTTCTGAGTTGGCAGTCTCGCGTTTGATGGCTCTGTCGCTCTGAACGGATGCACAATTCCCTTCACATCTCCATCCACAGCCTTTCGTTGCTAGACCGCCTTCACGATGCGACATATCGGCTGCTACAGTGAGATCTGACGATGGAATATGGACACTGCGGAGCTGTCAAACTCTCTTTTGATCGCGTGCGATGATCACCATGGCAATAATTACGCGCCAGAAAAACAGCGCGACATTTGCTGCCGTGTGTCGAACGCGTGAGGGTGCGCTGTGTGTCAGATAGTGACCATCACCACTTAGCGCGTGAAAGAGTGATTGTGTGCGTGAATTTGTGTTCATACGACTGTAGACGAGGAGATGGCCAGGCGCGCGTCCCTGCAGTCGCATTCGACCGCCGCGTAACTGGGCTTCAGTGCCATTAGGTGAAGCGGCACCGGCTGTTGCGCATCCCGTCAGTGAAACTCTGTGTGGATGGGTGGTTCCGCATTTTGAGGAGGTCCCCCGCCTCGCACAGAGAGACCACCCGGATTCTGCAGAGGAATGCCTCAACACGGAGAGGAGCGTCTTCGAGTTGCGTCGATCGGGGTATTGGAGAAGTGCAGTGGGCGACTGCATAGACAGACTGTGCACGCAGCGGCACACTAAAGGCCTGGACAGCAGCCAGTCGTGACTTTTTGCCTGGCGACATAAACACGCACCCCACCGCGTCAGGGTTGCGTTTGGACCCGCGCCCTCCTGGCAACAGCTGCAAGTTGGTGCCAGCAGGTGCAAGACCTGACTTGAGCCCAGGTTTGCCCTGTGCATCTATCTATCTATCTATCTATCTATCTATCTATCAGGCACTCCCATAAACATCTTCGTTGTTACCACACCAAAAGTGATTCAGTCTAATAAACTCAAACACACAAGTGTCCTGTGCACGCAGCGGCACACTAAAGGCCTGGACAGCAGCCAGTCGTGACTTTTTGCCTGGCGACATAAACACCCACCCCACCGCGTCAGGGTTGCGTTTGGACCCGCGCCCTCCTGGCAACAGCTGCAAATTGGTGCCAGCAGGTGCAAGACCTGACTTGAGCCCAGGTTTGCCCTGTGCATCTATCTGTCTATCTATCTATCTATCTATCTATCTATCTATCTATCAGGCACTCCCATAAACATCTTCGTTGTTACCACACCAAAAGTGATTCAGCCTAATAAACTCAAACACACAAGTGTCACAAGTGTGTGAGAGCGGGTCAGGATGCAGGTCTCATTCGCTTGTACGGAGCACAATCTGAAGAGCCGCAGCGAGGACCGGCTGTGCGGCCTGCGAACTGCCCCTCCACCAGGGGGCAGCAGCAGCGGAGGAGGAGGAGAAAGAGGGAGTGGACAGGGGGGAAATGGCAACTACGCCCCTCAGAACTCGGTCAAAACACGGGACGTGGCGGGGTCCCGACCCCTGCCTCAAGGCCACGCCCACATGAAGGAGGCTATTGGACGACACAGTAGCATGAAATACAGGTGAGACAGGTGGAAGTGGCGTGTATGTGTGTAGCACCACCTGTTGGGTGGCAGCTTAGGGCAGTACTGGGTTATTCTGTGCTGTCTGATGTGTTATGGCTTCTTTAAAGATTCATAAGTTCCCACTGACAGCTGCTTTAATACTGAGTGCGTGCGTGCGTGTTCACTTCAGTGCGTGTGTTATGGCTGAGCTGAATGAATGGCAAACTGGATGTCAGGGGCAGGCATGGAATTGCCTCCTTTGCTTGCATTATTGACTAGGCCATCTAATGCCTTTAGTGTTTAGTACATATCAATATATAATATGGTACGATAAGCTCTCATACCATGACACAGAATTCGTTGTTGCATAAAATGCACAACTTGACAGAAGTTGCCAAAAGAATAAATTGCTTCTTTATTATTATTATTTATTATTATTAAGTAATCTGACTTGTGATTTGTTTGGCAGATGATAAAAAAGTGTGTGGTTTCAAGCCATATCTACACTTTAAAAGATATCCTGTCAAATTTACAGTAAAAAAAATGGCAGCCTAAAATTCACTATCAAAACTGACAATGTTTATAAAGGATGGCATATTGGTGCCTGTGTATTTCAAGAATTAATATAATGTCAAATATATCTGACTTGTGATTTGTTTGGCAGATGATAAAAAAGTGTGTGGTTTCAAGCCATATCTACACTTTAAAAGATATCCTGTCAAATTTACAGTAAAAAAAATGGCAGCCTAAAATTCTTATAAAAAAATGTTTATAAAGGATGGCATATTGGTGCCTGTGTATTTCAAGAATTAATATAATGTCAAATATCAATCTACTATCAAAATCTGCTTTTTACCTTAAAATGTACTGATAACAGCCATAATAATATACTGTAGGTGGTAAAATATTAAGCCATATGATGATTTACAGTTAGGCCTGCCTATAAAACATGGCCAATATTTATTATATATAGACATGGTCAAACACAAAGATAAAACACCATTAGGGTAAAACACATGACTAAAATAATGCATAAACATGAACCAAATAACAGATAATGTAACAAAAAACACCTAATGCACATTACTGCTAACAAAAATAAGAAGAAGCAAAACTATTTAAAGAAAATATATTCATATGTCATCACACAGGGACTTCTAGAAATGTCCTTTTATTGTTTTCACTGTAAATTATATTATATTATTAGCTCATAATTTTTATTGGCAAAACCCATGTATTTGACAGTATTTACAGCAAAATGACATCAAATGTAATATTAAAAGTTTTTTTTACATGTGGTAATTCAAATTTACAAACATTTTTTACAGTGTAGGCACCGGAATATTATAAATGTTGCAAGTTCAATCATCCAGCAACCACCTTGCAATGCTTTAACATCCTCCCAGAAAACTCTTAACTACCACACAGCAGCAATGTGCTACTCCAGACACCTTAGCAACAGTGTAGCAACACTCTGGCAGTCACTCACAACAGTCTAAAATTGTGGCATATTCTTCAGAAAATGTAAGCATTTAGTTGTATGATGGAGTTCTCTACTGCAGCTTAACTATTCATGTGTGTGAGTGTGTGTGTGTGTGTGTGTGTGTGTGCGCGCGTGCCTGATTCATCACTGCATGTTATCCTAAAGGAAAAATTGCTCTGTAACTGTTCATGATTAAACTGTACGTGCTCAGCCACTGAAATGAGTCCTTGTTTCAAAGGGCTAGTAGTTCTTCCACTGCAAACTTGCGTTCTGATTGGTTTCATTATTGTATAAATGCCCACTTTTCATGATCTAATCAATTCTGGGTGGATAAAATCCAGTACAACATCACATTTCTTCTCATTGAATATGTTGCTCCACTGTGAAATATGTTTGTGTGAGTGTGTGTTGTGCTAATCTCAGCCTCAGACTCACACCCACGGATCGTTCACAGCCCTTTCTCAGATTGCTGAGCCATTATTTAAATGAGTTTCCACTTTGCTGCACATCACTCTATTGGATCTACCTGGACCTAAAGCAAACTCTGCTTGGCCATTTTCCATGTTGGACAGACGCTCACTTCCTGTGTGGTTCTTGTGGTCATGTGGACTTGACTTTTTGGACAGACTAAATAACAACAGCTATAATTATGCTAATGACCCCTGATTGTTGTGATTGAAAAGCTACCATTGCATTTTCATGCACTGGGAGATGGAGGCCATTAAGAAACATATGCGTCTGATGGCACATCATCTGTGAATATCGCAGTTGTGCTTGTCATAGCGAGAGGTTATACAGCAATGTCCTTAGCCAGCGCTCTGGATTAGCCAGAAAATTACTCACAAACCATATGTTCGATTTTTATATCAGTTCCTATACAGAGTTGAAGTGGCTTGCAGAGATTCCCATGTTTAACGTGCATTTGTCATTGTGCAAATATAATGGATGTTTGTTGGTGCTGTGCATGCTGTCAAGTAACACTAGAAGACGTGTTAACATTAGAAGGTTTCGGATCTCCCTTTGTGAAAAAGAAGTGTACTTAATTGTTTTGTATTTGCGCTTGTAGTGTACTTCATATCGTAAATGTACAGTACATTTACTGTACTTGAGGATAATATAATTTTAATAAAATAAAAGGCCACTTACTGTAAGTGTACTTAAAGAGAGACATCCATGTGTTTCTTAACACACTTAAGTACTCTTTTAAAAAGTGCACTTTGTAATAATGTGAAATGAAAGGTTTATGTTAAAGTGCATTTTAAATTCATGTTTTAATTTTTAATAAAAACTGAATATGTTGTAGTCATTTTTTGTTGTACTTTAAAGAAATACATTTATTTTGATGTGTTGAGCACCTGCTTATAGCTCTCACCAAAAAAAATCTAAGGTTAGGTGAAAAAGTGTTCTTTCATAATGTACTTAAAGTGCTCTATTTTGACGCACTAATTGTGTGTACTTAATATACTAAAAATTATTATTTAGTACTTCTTAAGAAAATCTTAAGAACATCTAAGTGTACTCATCCGTGCTTTAATACAGAGATAGTATGTTAAAAGCACATTTTAGTTCATATTCATGGTATCTCAAAATAGCACAGTTGAGTACACTTAGATGTTCTTAAGAGTATATTAAGAAGTACTAAATATATTTTTAGTATATTAAGTACAAAATTAGTGCATGAAAATGGAGCATATTAAGTGCATTATGGAAGTGCACTTTTTCGCCTGGGTTGCTCTATATATTCAAGTTTACTCAGAAGCCAGTTATGAAAACTTGAACATACTAAGTAACCTTAACTAGATATTTTCTGAGTCAATAAGTTTGCAAGATTTTTTCAAGTAAACAAAATGTGTATTTGCTATTAAAGCTGCAGTCCGTAACTTTTTTTTTTTTGGTTAAAAATGATCCAAAATCAATTTTTGGTTGATGCAATGACTGACAGCCACACATACTCCCCAAAACATTATATTAATCTGCACTGAGGATCCGTGCCGTTGCACAGCCCACGTAAAGATGATAATTCTGCAAATAACTTCAATTGCAGGTTTCAAACAGAGATGGCGACAAAGAGCCAGATCTTACGGACTGCAGCTTTAATATATTTTAAATATATGACATGACATACAACTTTCAATAGAAATTACATTAAATATATATTGTAGATTACCTTAAATGCTTGTCAGTGCATTCGGTAACATACATATATTATATAGTATATATTATAGTCTTATTTCAAAGACAGTGAAAGTAATCATGAATTTGCATATAAAGATAAGTCCTAGTTTTTCCACAAAGGTCTTCACTGTTAAACGTTTTTTAAAGTGTTAGTTCAATGACAATTATAATTTGTGAAATATGAACTAAAATGTGCTTTTAACATACTATCTCTGTATTAAAGCACGGATGAGTACACTTAGATGTTCTTAAGAGTATATTAAGAAGTACTAAATATATTTTTAGTATATTAAGTACAAAATTAGTGCATGAAAATGGAGCATATTAAGTGCATTATGGAAGTGCACTTTTTCGCCTGGGTTGCTCTATATATTCAAGTTTACTCAGAAGCCAGTTATGAAAACTTGAACATACTAAGTAACCTTAACTAGATATTTTCTGAGTCAATAAGTTTGCAAGATTTTTTCAAGTAAACAAAATGTGTATTTGCTATTAAAGCTGCAGTCCGTAACTTTTTTTTTTTTGGTTAAAAATGATCCAAAATCAATTTTTGGTTGATGCAATGACTGACAGCCACACATACTCCCCAAAACATTATATTAATCTGCACTGAGGATCCGTGCCGTTGCACAGCCCACGTAAAGATGATAATTCTGCAAATAACTTCAATTGCAGGTTTCAAACAGAGATGGCGACAAAGAGCCAGATCTTACGGACTGCAGCTTTAATATATTTTAAATATATGACATGACATACAACTTTCAATAGAAATTACATTAAAATATATTTTAGATTACCTTAAATGCTTGTCAGTGCATTCGGTAACATACATATATTATATAGTATATATTATAGTCTTATTTCAAGGACAGTGAAAGTAATCATGAATTTGCATATAAAGATAAGTCCTAGTTTTTCCACAAAGGTCTTCACTGTTAAACGTTTTTTAAAGTGTTAGTTCAATGACAATTATAATTTGTGATAAATTTCTCATTCTAATGCTGTCCATTACCTATATGACTTTTTTCATCCGTGAAACACAAAAGAAGATGCTAAGCAGAATGTCTATGTTGCTCTTTTTCCATACAACAAAAGTTAAGTTACAAAAAGGATATAACAACAATATACTGTATTTTTAACGATCTGAAACAAGATTTATAATACCCACAGACAGCGCAACGCAAGCAAAAAAAAAAAAGGTTTGGGTGAATAGACTTTCAAGGGAGGGACAGAAATCTGTTTCATTAAAAATACCTTCATTTATCATTTGAAAATGAACAAAAGTCTTATATGTTTTGGGAAAACATGAGGGTGAGTCAATGATGAAAGAATTTTAATTTGAGGGTGAAATATTTCATTA